GCAGGTGAGATGAGGGGCTGGGGAAGAGGTTGGCTTTGTGGGGAGGATGGTCCGAGGTGAGAAAAGTCTCCTCGAGTCCCTCTGCTCCCCATCGGGAGCACTGGTGTTCTTCCCTGTGTTAACTCGCAGGGCCTGGTGTCCTTCTGTGGGTGCCCACTGGTGTCCTGTGGGCTTGGACACCTATCTGTGTCCTTTCCTGGTGCCCAGCTGTGTCATCCTTGGTGCTGGATACCCATTTGTGCCTTTGTCTGGGTGCCCACCAGGGACTGCAGGCCCCTGTGTGCCTTATGGGACATCTGCTTGTGCCCCTGTGGGGTCCTGGGCAAACTGTTGCCTCTGCTCAGAAAGTGAGCAGATCCCCTGCCTGGTCTCTGAGGGCTTTGTGCAGCCCATCTGCTTGAAGCCCTTCTTCCTGGAGCTTGACATGAATGATCCAAAGCTGCTCTGTGTGTCCTGTCCCCTGGCAAGAAGTGCTCCCTGTGTCAGTGGAGTTTGGTGCCCCCCTCCCTTTGTCTGGGGCTCAGCCCTAACTGGGTGGTTCAAGGGTGTCCTCCCAGCCTTGTTATCAGCTCTCAGAAGGGATAGTTTGTTTCTCTCTGCTGAGATAAGGGGTAATGAAGTGCCTCTGAACTTAGAGAATGACTTGGATGTTACTTCCTGAGCGCTGTTTTGTCGGTGGTGATACAGTATCTTCCCTGGCCACCCCAGTGGTCAGGGCAAGAAGGTGTTTGGGTCCCATCACTGCAGCCCCCGTGGCACCATCCTGCCTGAGGTTTCTAGGACCTGAAGAGCTGTGCTCCTCCTCCTCCTCCCTGGAGCAAGCAGCAGCTGGATAGTTGAGCACTGGGCTCTGGAGCCTCTGTCCGGTGGAGGCAGCCAAAGGAGGGCTCTGTCCCCCCACCTGCAGCGAGGTGGGGGACACCCTCAGGACTGCAGCAGGACCTGGACCTCCCCAGCTGCTGCACGCCTGCTCACCCACCACTCTTCCCTTCTTGCTTCCCTTGCAGAGCACTACAAACACCACTGGTTTCCTGAGAAGCCGTTCAAAGGCTCCGGGTACCGCTGCATCCGGATCAATCACAAAATGGACCCCATTATCTGCAAGGCAGCGAGCCAGATCGGACTCAGCCTCCCACAGCTCTACCAGCTCCTGCCCAGCGAGCTCACCCTCTGGGTGGATCCCTACGAGGTCTCCTACCGCATTGGGGAGGATGGTTCCATCTGTGTCTTGTACGAAGCAACTGCCACAAAACCTGTGAGCTCCTATGGGATGCTTACCTGTAAGAACCAGATGATGTTAGGTCGCACCAGTCCTTCCAAAAACTACATCATGACTGTCTCCAGCTAAATACTCCTCTTGTCCTTACACTGCCAAGACACAGGCTACTGTATACCTCACCTGAGGATCTATTTTTAAGATGAAGATCTATTTATATTTTTTTAAAAAATCCAAGAAAATCCAAAATTAAAATGTTGGACACCACTTTGAGCAGAAGTGGTGGTCTAGGTGCCTTTTTTAAAGCTGTTGCAAGCTTATGAGTTTTTATTATGAAGCTGGTATCTACCTAATTAGTGTTGGATGGTGATTTTGGGCTGGCTTGCTTACTTGGGCAGCTTGGAATGGAGGAAGAGGGGGAAGAGCCAGGCTTGGAAGTGTGGTTTGGTGGTGGGAGATGTCTGTGTCACCTTCTCACCATCCTGGTACCCAACAGTATTGCTGTATTGCCAAGTATTGCAATTCTGTTGGGGAAGGGATGAAGGAGTTGCTGCCTTTCCTCCACTAATTTCTTCACTCTCCAGCTGGTCTGATCTCCCTGGGGCCTGGGTATAGTGTTTGAGGGAACCTTGCCTCAGGGCTGGGGACTCTGGGATCCTTCACCTTTGCTCTTGCACATCTCTGGATGCACTCCATGTTGCAGCTCTGCTCTGCCCCACTCCCAGCACAAAGCAAGGGGAAGCAAGGCCTTTCTGCAGCCCCTCCAACTCTCCTGTCTGCTGCTAGACTGAAGGGGTTGTGTAGATCTTGGTGTCCTGTGAAGTGGAGCAAGGCAAAGATGCACAGACTGTGCAGAGGAGGTCCCAAAGATGAGTATTGCAGCCACTGTGGTGGCACTGGAGTGCTGTGGTTGTTCCTGGTGCTCCCCAGTACCTGGCTATCACCAGGGATGCACACTGAGCTCCAGACCCTGAACCCAGCACTGAACTGCTGTGAATTATGAAGCCTTTCTGCTCTTTGGGGAGAAGACATCAGCCCATGATCTGCTCTTGTGTGGCCTCTCTGTGCTCCCAGGAGTGGAGTTGGCCTCTTGCTTGAGGAAGTTTGCTAATCCAGTGCTGATGACTTGCTATGTCACTTCTCCAGGAGAGCTGAAGCAACTTGCCTTATGCCCTAGTGTTTGGTGTGTGAGAACCCCCTTTGCCCTATCTCAAAATTGGAAGTATTGGGAGTCTCTTCCCTCTGTTTGGGATCCTCCGATGCTTTGGTGTCCTAATAATGCTTTTAAAGTCACAGCACTTCTTCCCTCTCTTCCTCCTCTGGGTGGTCAGCATGTGGCTGTCCCTGAGACCTGACTTCACTGATACCTTGGTAAGGGGCATCGTTTGGTTCTGATCTGTTGGTACATAACTGTTTTGCACAATTAATGCTTGGTCCTGTGCTTTGTCTGTTCAAGCAAAACTCTTCTTGGAGTCCCAGTGATACTTGTATTTAGGGAGACTTTGCCTGAGGGTGGTTCAGGATTTGGCCCTTAAACTGCTCTGCCTACAAATGGGCTGGGAGCTGAAACTTCTGCCTCAAGAACTTGACCTGCCTGTTCAGAATGAACCTTTACCAGGATGTTGTGTGTCCATGGCCTTTTTACTAACCAGCTGGTACTCCTCTAGTGATCCTGGGAGAAGTGATTGGAAAAGCAGGGCATTAACACAGTGGTTTGTAATTAAAATTTCCCCAGGTTTGTCTCTCAGCACACTTTACCTTCCTCTTTCCTGACCTGGCAGCTGTCTGGCATAACCAGAGTTGTTCTTGCCCAATCTTTGATGAATCAAGTTCTCAGACATTTGTGCAATATATTTCCAAATCTTGGGTGTGCTGGGAGAGGAAGGAAGCTTCCCATCTGCCACAGTTTGTAGCTTGGTTGGTTTTTTTAATAGATGAAAACAAAGTTTCAGCAGAGCTCCTGAGCTCTGACTACTCATGTGGAAAACGTTCAGAGTTTTTTAAGCTCCAGATAATAAATTCCAGAACTGGGAAACTAGCCTCAATTCAAAGATCCTTTTAAAATGTCAAGTGGTGAGTAGTTGTTTGTCCTTGAACAGTAATAGCAGTGGCTCTGGAGTTGCATCACTTCCCTCTGCATCACTTGAATTTCTCATGTCAGCGAAGCAGAAGCTGAAATTGAAGCACTGGGACTTTTCCCTTGGTGAACTTGTGCAATAGGTGACATCACCAAGAGGGGAGTACTGGGGAACTTCCAAAAAAACAAATTCCCTTTTCAAGGAAAAGGGATCTCAGTGCTTTTTGGAGTCCTCACTTAACCTGCTTATGTGGAAAGCCCATGATAAGAACTGCATCCAGGATGGGCAGTGTTTACTTTGCTGGGCTCCTTGGCTGGATGTGGAGTTTCCTGAAGGCTGGCACTTCCTTGGGTTATAACTTTACACAATTAAAGCAATCTTAAGATTTACACACCCACCCCTCACCCCCCACCCCCTTTTTTTACTCTGTTCCCTTCCTCTTATCAGGAAAGATTTCAGGAACAACAGCCTATGCCAAAGGAACACACTATAATTGCTCTTAACATGCCCCCACTTCCAGAACCAAAATAGCCAAGTCTCATTCTTTTTTGTCCCTGGTGTGGAGGAGTCTGATGTTAAAGGCCTTTTTTTTTTTTTCATTCAAAACCAACCAAACTTGGGTATAATCCATTTCTCTCTTGTAGCTGGTTCCATGTAAAAGCTGTGAATTAATGTGCTCTGTTGCCTTCTGCCTACAAGCCTGATCAGAGCCCAATGGTGTGTGTTTTCAGACAGTGTATTTGAGGGGTTTCCTGTCACTTTTGTTTTTTTTGACAAGCTGGACTGTTGAACGGGACCTGCTTTTTGTATTTGGGGAAAATGGTAGAAAGTTTGTAAGCTACACTTGGAGGAGGGAGTGGATGGTTACTAATTGTACAGTAGTGTTTTTATATACAGAATGTACAGATCCTTTGACAGACGTATGCTTTTGTTACTTTAATAAAAATGTAGCAGTATAAATGAGCCTTGTTTTCTTGCTGGGAGCTGCTCTGTGCTTGCAAAGAGGGTGAGAGTTGGGACTGCAACCTAAAACCCACACTGCAAATGCTGTGGGCTTGGTTAACAGTCACCCACACTTTAATATCCAGCTGTGTCAAGGAGGAGGTTTAGAAAAAAGCTGCTTAGTCAACATGCTGACTCCAAACCTGACCCTCTAAACCCATGGAATTAAGGCTGGGAATTGGTCTGATGACTAATGCAAGGCTGTGGGTGTCCTGCCCTCTCCTTCCCCATGCTGACTGCTGGGTTCTGGCTGGGGCAGTGGGGGATTTGTTCAGTGTGGGATTGTAAAAATCCCATGTCCTGCCAGAGTGTGAAGGTGTTATGTAGCCGATTGCCAGATCTTTTGCCCAATCCTAGGAATGGCATAAAGTCATGGAAAGAAGCAATGAATGACCCGAGCCAGGAACAGGGGTGGTTCCTGGTTAAGCCTCTCTGCCTCCACTGTCCTTCCAAGGGTGACTGAGCCAGCAGAGGAGGAAGGGTGAGAGATCATGGGACTGAAATTTTCAGGTATGTAGAGGATGTCATGATAAAGGCAGCCAGGGTTGATTCACTGGAGATCCTGTTTTGACTGTGTCAAGAGGCTGGTGACTGCAGCACGGGAGCTGGATCCCTGCTCCTGGGATGGGATGTCCAGCTCATGGGTTTAGCCCTCATCTGTGCTCATTTTCAAGCTCATGTGATTTAAGGAACTTGAATAAATTGGTTAATTGTGCTGGTTTTGGTCCCAAACCCCCTTTTTATGGAGTTCAGGAGGGCTTGAGTTGCAGCTTGCAGCATCTTTGTGACCCACGACAACTTGTTCCCTGTGCTGGTGCCTTCCCAGACTAGTGGTGCCAAAGGAGGGGGGCACAGGCCTGGTCCTACCATTCTCTAAAGCTGTTTCCTCTAATCCTGCTTTCATCATAATACACTGCTTCTGAGAGGAAAACAATTTGTGGCCCTCTGTCAAAGCCGCTCCTTTTTGAACTCATCCCTTCATTAGTTTCCATAAACACACCCAAATTGCTGCTGCTTGTGAAACAGGGTTGTTGAGAAGGAATGGGCGTCCCAGTCGGTTGCTGATTAGCTGGAGAGTCATCCAAGTTCAAAGGCTTGGTGAAGTCAGATGATGGTGGCCTTCCTCCCTCTAGCTTGTCCAGACCAGTGTGGTCTGCCTGGACTTGTGTGCCCTGGCCCATTTTCAGGCTGACATAGTCCATGCCATAGCCTGTGGCTGGCATTTGGGCCAGCAGGCAGAGCCAAGATTATCTAAAATTTAAGTTGCTCTCAGCCAAGATAAAAATACAGCTCTTACACCATGGAGTGTTTAGTGAGGAGTCAGCCCTGCCTGCACTGTAACCAGATCCCCCTGCCAGCATTTTAATAGGTGACTCATCTGCTATTTTTATTTTGCTCGTCATTTTTCTTCTAGTAGGATCATGATACCTGGTGTACCAGCTGGGTGCATCTTTATCTGTCCCCTCCTAAGCCCTTCCTAGGCCTTGTGATGCTGAGCTGCAGTTCTCAGCACCTTTTCTCATGTGGGATCCCTGAGGACATCACGGGAGGAGTGTGGAGGCACAGCTGGAGTCTGATCCAGGTGCCCTTGGCATGTCTGGAGCAGCTCTGAACAAGACTGAAAGTAACCAAAACCTCACTCTTCTGCCACTGCCCACCTGTTGAAATCTGGACTTGTTTTCTGCTCAGCCTGTTGCTGGATTTCTCTTGGGATTTTTTTTGTTGTTGTTGTTCAGGCTGGGCAGGGAAGTGTCTGATTCAAGGAGCCTGGGTCAAACATTGTCCTCTGTAATCAGAGATTGGTGTGTTGCATAAACCAGCATTTGCCTTTGACATGTCCTGGGTAAGAACTGGGCTCATTGCCCAGCAGACCTGCCTGCTTCCCAGCACCTCGCAGGAGAGATGAGCTCTGCCAGCACAGTGGGGTCCAGGATTCTAACACAGAGTGTCCCCTGTGTGTGGGGTACCCACACAGAAACCAGTTCCCTGCAAAAACCCTTCAGCAGGGTAGGTGGGCAGCATGGGTGATGCTGGTGCTCAGGAAAACAACTG